TATACTAACATGTTAAACTCACCCTTTATAATAGTGTGGTTAAAACTGTTGTTTGCTTTTAATAATCCAAATGAAAATGTATTTATTTATTGAATTAATTACAGTCAATTAGTTCCCACTGTTTTATTCCGAGTGTGAATTTCTCAGATGCACCAATGTAGTCGAACTAAGTGAACTGTATTCCAGTTAAAGGTGTTGATTCGACACGTCTTATTGAAAACATCGAGTAATGAAACAACGGTTTACATTCTTGCTCAGTTTGAGTAACTGAATATATCATGTTTTTATTTGTGTATCAGTCCGTCAATTTCGCTTCATTGCCTTTCTTTGGGATTTTGATCGGGTGACTTTCCTTCCAGTCTGTTGATACTTGTTCTTTATCCCAAATCTTGCTGAAGAGAATGTGGAGTATGCTTGCAGTTACTGCTACGTCTGCTTTCAGTGTTTCTGCTGGAATATTGTCTAGCCTCGCTGCTTTTCTGCTCTTGCTTTGTCTGATGGCCATGCTGATCTCTTCAATTGTTGGTGGGTCAACATTGACTGGGAGGTCCGTGGGTTTTACTTTGATATTGGGTGGGTTCAGTGGGGCTGGTTGATTCAAGAGTACTTTGAAGTGTTCTACCCACCTGTTTCTCTGTTCTCTAATGTTGGTGATTACTTTGTCTTCCTTGCTTTTCACTGGTCGTTCTGGTTTACTATAATTTCCAGCGAGCTTCTTTGTTGTACCATACAATTGTCTCATGTTTCCTTCTCTTACAACCTTTTCCGCCGTCACCGCTAGATCTTCCACATATTTACGTTTGTCGAATCTAATGCGCCCATTCTTTCACTTGCTTACTGCTATGAATTCAGCTTCTGCCTTGGCAGTCTCTGTTCGTGTTCGGCTGATATTGATTGCTGCCTTCTTGTTCCTTCTTTCCTGAACCTTATCTAGTGTGTCAAGAGTGTGGTGGTGCATTTTGTGGTGATCTGACGGTATATCAACTTTTCTCTTGGTTCTCACGTCCTTCTCCTAAGTAAATGTTTGCTCTGTTTGTCAGAACGGACATCAGCCTCGTGACTTCCGATGGAAATCTTCTATTCCTGAGGACTATCTTGAATTTGTTGAATTTGTCATTATCGCGAAGAAAAGCCGTATTAAAGATTTGTGCTGTTGTCCGCCCTGTCGTCCGGTGTTTCTTGAGTTTCACTTTCATCTTGGCGCGTCGTCTGCACTATCGACGGACGAGACGACAGTCTCACGTCCAAATCAGCAGACCACGTCTCTTCTGACCTTGGATGAGATTGCAGGCTCACGAAATACGAACGAGACTACCGTTTCACGTTCCGGTCGCCGAGTACGGTTGCCCGTACGCTTCCGCGACTAGCCGCGCAGTTAACAACCGATACGGTGTAGGACTATTCCTATGCTACATGCATGCTACCCTCTTCTCTTTTTTGATTTTCTTTTTGTTTCCTGAGCCCACGCCTTCGACCATCTCCGTTTAGTTTCGTCGACTTCAGTCAACTTTGTCGAAAGCTGGACTGGTCACCCACGCTCTTGTCAACGCACTCAGTTGATATATTGGTTTTGAATGTTTGGCATACCCTTGGTCTCGAACTTGGTCGTTACGGTCGCTTCTGGTCTTTCGGCTCAACGTGGTTTCGTCCTACGTCTGCAGCGTTTCTGGTCCACATCTCTACAAACGCAATCTTCAGATTCTGGATACAAACCACTCTGGTGTGGCATGTCAACTCAAGCAACAAATAGAGCACATCGCTCCTGGTACCATTCTCCGAAAACGACTTTCGTTGGCAACTCGACGATCAACGGTCGCTTTCCTTTTCGCCAATCCGTTCGTCCTACAATCGCTCGTCAGCCGATCAGTCCCACGATTAAAACCGCTATTTATCGAAAGTGTAAACCCTTTCTAGCGGAGGGCTCCTGTAGTGACTCACATTTATCACGAGAACACGACTGGTTTAATAAAAACAATTATTAGTATAACCAATTGTACCAGTGCTTGTTTTAATGTGCTTTTGTTTGACTGTGCTAATGACAGCCATATTGTGCTTCCATTATTATTCACACAATTTGATTGTAACTTCGCGAAAAATTCGGTTACGTTCTGTAACCAAGCTTATATCCTGGCACGATCTCGGTATCCTTTCGATGCCACGAGATCGCCAGCAAATAAACCTCGACTTGGTCCATTAATTGTCTTCTGATATTTGGCTTCTTGGGGATTTTATGGAGTCATTTGGAACGACCTTCTTGGTAGCGGTGTTCATAGTCAATCTCCATGCGACACCACGCTACAGATCTAATGGGCAACGTAAACTCAAATCTGAATCACACTCTAAACAGTCATATATAATATCCAAAGCTCTACTGATAGGTACATTGGTGAATAAGGAAGATACATAAAAACTTGCCACTATTTCATCCTCTTCTATATCGATAGTATCGATATACACTTCTTATATATACTGCTTATTACCTATTCTATTCGTGAATTTTTCCTGCCTATGTATTCCGCATCTCGATGTATTGCTAACAATAAGGAGAGATGAATTCCTAAGAGGTTTACGCCTGAAGAGAAAGTGGAGTGGGAAACTAACTACTAAAGATGGGTGACATCGAACAGATTAGGAAATCCTATGGACTCATCATACTAACTAACGCGAAACTTCTGTGGTGTATTGAGTGAGAAATTGATTTCATCAGAAAAAGTCTCGCTAGAACCTATTGTATGATTTTATTTTCCTTCTCCTCACCATCCATTTGTACCTTCTTCAAAATATATAGCTATTTCAGATCGATTCATGTGGCATGGATTTGATAAAGCTTATTTTGATCCAGAAGCAGTTTTCCTAGATTTATCAGTCTGTCAGAGATTACGAGATACGGTTTGATACATTCTCGTTCCCTATCACTTATACTTATACTTATACTTGGAACGAGAAACCACTACGATTCACATGCTGAAAAATAGGAACAAAACCGACTGAGACGGGTGAAAATCCATTCATTCGAAAAGACGATAAACAAAGTCCGAAATACCCTCACCAGCATATTGATTTGTAAATCCATTAGACTATTTACTACAAAATAGCCACATGTGAAGAATGCACAGAATCATGACAAATACTGCACCGACTAATCACCATACTAAATTAGAAACAGAAGTAATGTTGAATAAAAATCACAATGAGTGGGGAATGTTATTTTGTTTTCTTATACCGTCATATCACGGTTTGCACATATTTTATACACAACAAACACTTTCTTCGCGTTTTTCGATTGTAGAATTGAATGAAATATATCTTGCATCAAAGTACAGAAACGTTTCTATATTCTAGCTGACAATTCATAACTCACACATACCTAAACTGCCTTCATGTATTTCAACGAGATTTTATTTATTGAAACCGAGAACTTCCCTAAACTATAATAGAGTACGACTAAACCTCAAACTGACTGTCTTTAGATCTTTAAGAAGTGCAGTACCTCAAGAATCAGCGCTTGTATAAATGCTCTCTCATGTATATGCATATATAAATATATATTCAAAGACTAAAAGGGTTTTATTGAGGGAATGAGACTTGCAATATATGCACTTCAAATGTTTAGTTACCAAAAGAGCTTTCGATAGGAAAGATGATTTATCTCCTAATATTGGGTATTCGAAATTCAAACGCAAACCGCAATCCAATTTATTTCGTTCTAAGCTCATACCAAAAGCTTTGAAATGAGTGTTAAGTCATCTTAAACAAAGAATATTGTATCAGAATTTATTATTATTCTAAGTTCTTACTTTGAGTTTGTGAGCAATTTAGTTTCTTACATTTCCAAGGGATGAGTTGGTTCTTACGGTCATTATTCGTTCAAAATAATTATTCTTTCAAACGGATGCACAAACTAATTGATCGAAAACTTTCCATACTCCATATTCTAGTTCAGAAATCGTCGAAAATGTGAGAAGTTAACATGCATTCACAACCGAATTTCATAACTGCGGAGAGTTTCATTCTTCACAAAGAGTGAAATTCTGGACGATAAATGCTTTTAATAACACAAGTAGGTATCTTTTAGTTGGTGATTGTACATTTGGAATCAATCCTCGGTCCATTTCAAGCAATCCCAAATTATTTCAAATCCTGGATCATACGGAATGCGCAATATTGACAAGACAGAGCCTCCACTTGAACGGTTATAAGCTTTAAATTTAATAATACCTGAACACAGAGACCAATCGATCCCTTTAAATGACTTCACAGTGGTAATAAACTGTGTTTACCCTTAATGAAAATATTTTCCAGGTGATACAAATTCAGTTGACGGAATAACTCTGAAATTAAATGTTTTTCAATGGGTGAGGTTAGTTTCGTCATTATCAAAACCAGTTAGAAGCACCAATTCTCAAGAAATAATATACATCTGACATCTATATTGCTTTTCTTAATAGTTTATTCCAACAATTTCAACAAGAGATATAAACTCATATTCGTAGAATTGTCATTAACTATTGATTGAGATTGTTAGTCTGTCACGGTTTTTAATGACTTCACAACCACGTACATGTACAAGTTTTTAGTTCGATATGACATGGTCACTAACTAGCATTTATATGCGTTTCACATTTGGATGTCTCTCTTGCAATCATTTAGCATGGAATAACGTTTAACTCATTTTTTGTTGGAATTATAGTGACTTTAAAACAGTATAAATCTTCACTTTGTAATTACATCATTTACTCAAATGCATGGTTTTTGTGCTGTCATCCTACGACAGAGAATCTAATCTAGGCCTACCATCAAGTGTACAGTCATTTTGCTTTTCACTTTTACAGAGCTTTGCATGACATCACTATGAATTTTAAAATCGAACTAACTATTTACTGAAACGGAACACACTTCGAAATTCGGTTCTTACATTGGCGAGTAACAGTCCCAAAGGTTTGACTTTCAACTATTTTGTTACTCAAATGATATTTGTTTTCATTAAAGCAAAAGAAATTGAAGTTTTACAAGCATGTAATTAATTAAAAATAGGTAAAGTTTTAGGTGAATAATCAGATAACAAACAGTATAAATAGAAATTCACTGACAACTACATAATCGTATACAACCTGAATCTAACACGAATTAAATTCACCAGTGTTTAAGCTATGTTCGTATTTCCGGTGGAGATAATTGGTTGGTTAAAACAGTTTGATTTTCGGGCATGTGTAAGTCCAATTAGCTAACAGCATTTGGTTGGCATAGATTTGGTTGATGCAAACTAAAGGTAAATTATATGAAAACAAGTAAGATTATACTGTTCTGGACGTAATCACGTATGAGACATATTTACTGATTTTCACGTTATGTGTTGTTTGCAATGGACAAATTTTATATCCAAATAATCAAAATTCTATTGAAGTAAGCTATTTAGATGAAAATATATTTGTTTGTTCATTATCATGAATAGTAAAAATATGTCATTTGTGTTTATGCACTACTCATTCCTGTTACTACTCTAGCTGCTTTTGTTTTCCTTTCTTTGCTACTCATTTTTCTCTTCTGTCTGTAAGGATCCTACTTCCAGTTCCTGACACATACGACTTATATCTCTCCATATATGTGGAACACAACACACATCTTGTATGGTTGCACGAATATTTTTCAGTGCAGTTCTACAAATCCTAAGGGAAATCTGTGAAGAGTCATAACCTTGAACATTTAGCTGATTGTGATCATTGAACATGTTGATTTTATTACCGTTTATGGAATCCTTCCAAATCTACCAGGATCCTCAATACAGAAGAAGCTTTAGTTATCCATTAGAGGAACTCTGAAATTTGTACGCAAATGGAGTATTTCCTAACTTAGCACTTACCTTGTCCTTAACTCATTGTAATTACCTGATTTTCATTTCACACATGTCAAATGTTTTATCAAATTATCCATAATTTTATCTCACATTTGTTTCACTCAATCCTTCTAGCACCTTCAACTATAAGAGCAAAATATATCAGATATCCTACTCTACTCTGACTAGTCCAACATCAGTTTATTCGTTTTAAGTTTTAGTTTATATTTGTGCATTCAATTAAACAGAGTGATGATATTTTCTCTGAAATTTGTAACTCCATATCCCTTACCATTCCATTGTTCAGCCACTCGCATCTTGCAAAATGACTCAAACAGTGTATTGTCAATTGATCCAGTAGATGAAATCCATGGTACGACACTTGCTGTGATGATTCCAGTCGACGTATTCAAAGTGTTTTGATACATGAATGGGTTGATTGAAATCCATGTCTTTCCAAAGTTCTTACTCAACATTACACCTCCACCATTTGCTCCCAAACCGAACAATATGCCAAGTGGATTTGTGTATGCTATAATCTGTTCAACAAATGGTCCCATGTCTAGAAATTAAAAGTTAGGTATAATAAGACTTCAATTATTCGTATGAGAGTATTACTGAACAGAATGTTTGACGAATATGTTTATCGTAAATTCGTACTAAGAATATCTTCAATCAGTGAAATTTGAAATAACTTCAATGAACATACAATGTGAAAATCATTTCTTACTGAAGGTCTTTTCTACCCCTTTGTTAATTCGATCCTTCAAAAATCTGAATCAATTTAGAAATGTTCATCATTTGCATAACGTTTTAGCTTGTAGAGTTAGAGGTTAATGCCTTATATTTTGTATTCATAAATAATACAATTAAATTTTACTCAGATAACAGACTAAAAAGAAGACTAATTCTCGTTTTTGTCAGAGTAATATGTCATTACATTAATCGGTTAGAATTTATGTAATCAGATGCTGAATTCGAAGACAATTTTGTGACATTCGAATGTTCGCTAGGGCCTCATGTGATGTTTAGTAATCATTGTGGATGAGATGACGAAATAGTGGTTGTTCATTAATAACCCAATAATAAGTTTAAAAAGTCTAAATATGTATGTTTCTAACAAAATCAATATCCGTGTGATTGTTTAGTTTGAACTTTGGTTAGACTAAAATAATTCGCATATCCAGTATATTCAACATTGGCTTACACAAGAGGCACCACAGAAGTAATGAAATGGTTTTCTGTTTAGAAAGGTCGATTTCTTTAATTCTAACAACGAAAAATCCTTCTATTTATTTGTCTCAATCATCTTGAAGTGTTAAAACATCTTAAGATAATCGAGAGGGCAATGTATTCCGATTCTAAACAACTGAAACACACAAAGATATAGATTAGATGTTGTATATATAGATTGTTATTTGTTTATTTATAAATGAATGAAAGCTATCATTTAATACTCACAATTTGAAGAAATTCAATTCGTCAAGTATAGAGTTGTAATGTATTTCTTTCGAAATGAATGATATTGCAACGAATCCCTAAATAAACTTAGTCTTTCAACAATAAATAATAGCATTCGACTAATAAGAAAACTGCAGTTTCTATGATAACCTACCGATCCATATTCTGTCAGGTAATTTGCTAATCATGAAGCAACGTCTCTCCAAATCAAATGACCCCTTCATATTAAATGCACGTCCACAATAAAACAGACGATCACGAACATTTAATAATGTATCTGACTGTCGACTAGGCAACGGCACAGCAGGATTCCGCAATGCCTTGTAATGAGGTAAATCACATGGATCTGAATACAGAAATTTACATCAAGATTAATGATTATTATCTACCACAGCACCATAATTTGGCACGTGTTACTGATCCATTTAATATAATTAACATTATATGCGTGAACGGTTTTGTCGAAGATGAAACAAAAGGATACTCAATAACATTCATTAGCATATGATAGTCCTATAACATGTCCAAACCTACGCAGTCAAATATGTATGCGTACATCATCCTGTAGTTTGGTGATGGATAGTAAATTTATTTAGAATCCACCTTTGTACTGTTTTATGGAAGTTTTCAAGTTCGTCTATCCAAACATGAGAAACTTGAATCTCTCTCCTTCCCTTAACCGTTCAAAAACAGGCTGCTGTACATCAAACCTACCATAAAAAGATCAGTTTTGATTTACTTTCCAAAGTAGCTTAACTACTGTCTTTTTTGTTACCTCGATTGTTCTATATCCCTTTCCCCAAAGTGACAAGGCAAATTACGATGAAACAGTTAAGAACATATTGTGCTAAAATATTGTATACTTCTAAACAACAAATTAATGAATTCTGATATGTATATTTTATTCAGTAACTATTACTGTTGATTTTCTAAGTTGGTTGGTACCATGTGCTTGAGAGTTATACAATTAATGTTACGCCATATAAACATTCGTTATTGAGAATGATCATCATTGACATTAATACACAATGATCTTAAATCTTGTTTGAAACTCTGGACTGCTGAGTATTTGACTATAAGAGAAATTTGCGGAATGTTACTTACTACTCAATTTATCGATAACTAGACTAAGAAAAGTTCAAGCATAAAGTAAACCGTACTTACAGCAAACAGAATGTTTTGAGAATATTTAAAATTTTGTCAGGATTTCGCCGAATGCATTTGGTTTTCTGTCTGTTCTTCATCATTGCATAAGTAAATTATTCCTGTCCTGATATTTTAGTAATATCAATCGGTTGACTGTTGGTGACATTACAACACAACAAAGTAATGGATTCTGATGTGTATATTTCATTCAGATTTTATCAGTACTGATTTTCTAAGTTGGTTGTTATCATGTACTTACTTACTTACTTACTTACGCCTGTTACTCCTCGTGGAGGACCATAGGCCGCCCACCAACACTCTCCATCCAACCATGTCCTGGGCAATCTTTTCTAGCTCTTTCAAGTTGTTATTTATCTTTTTCATATCTGCTTCTATTTTCCGACATAATGTGTTCTTTAACCTTCCTCCTGTTCGCCTCCTTACAAGCTAGGGCTTGCCCCGTGATGCAGTTTGGTGATTTTCGTGATGTATGTCCTATCCATTCCCATCGTCTTTTCCTAATCTCTTCTTCAGCTGGATGCTGGTTTGTTCGCTCCCACAGAAGGCTGTTGCTGATTGTGTCCGGTCAATGAATGTTGAATATCTTGCGTGGTACCATGTGCTTGAGAGTTATGCAACTAACGTTACGCCATAATAAAATTCGTTATTGAGACTGGTCATCATTAACATAAATACACGATGATCGTAGATTAGCAAACTTGTTTGAAACTCTGAGCTGCTAATTACTTAACTATAAGAAGAATATGCAGAATGTCATTTATTATTCACTTTATAGATAGATAGACTGGGAATTAATGACCAGGATTAACGATTGCTCTGGTTCTCAGAACGGACATCAGCCTCGTGGCTTCCGAAGGAACTCAAATTTATTCATGATACATCAAAACCTTTCTAAATGAAGACCTACTAACTCCCAGAACAGAGTTTAAATGATTTGAAATATTTTTCCGGTTAGCGTTGTTTCAGTGAGTAGGTTTTCTACGGGATAGTGTTGCCAACCCCATGCCCAACCCTCCTCCATCAGGGCTTGTGACCGGCAGTAGCCCAAAAGGGGCTCCATGCAGAGGATGGTAAAAACTTTATATGCTTGGACTCGTTCGGAGTAAACACCGGTGTCAGGCAAGGTTGTTTACTTTCACCCTTACTCCCTCGCCTGGTGATCGACTGGATTATGAAGATGTCAGCATCTGGTGGGGAGCATGGGATACAGTGGATATCTAGGATGCAGATGGACGATCTAGACTTGGCAGGTGATCTGTTTCTTCTATCGCACATGTAACAACAAATACAGTAGAAGACGAGCAGTGAAGCTGCAGCCTCAGCAACAGTAGGTCTCAACATGCACAAAGTCAAAAGCAAGATACTCCGATACAGCACAACAAGTATCGATCAATTCACAATTGACGGAGAAGTTTGTAAGATGCAAAAACCTTTATATACTTGGACAGCATCATTGATGAGCACGATTGATCTCATGCAGATGTGAAGGCGCGGATCGGCAAAGCAAGAGCATCATATCACAACCGAAGATCATCTAGAACCCAAAACAACTGTCAACCGACACCAAGACCAGAGTTCTCAATACAAATGTCAAGACAGTTCTACTGTATCGAGCGGAAGCTTGGAGAACTACGAAAGTCATCAACCAGAAGATACAAGTATTTATTGACGGTTTTCTACGCAAAATACTTCGGATCGGTTGGCCACACACTATCTGGAACAACCTACTTTGAGATAGAACAAACCAGATTCCAGCGAAAGAAGAAATCAGAGAGAAGCACTGGAAGTGGATAGGACACACATTGAGAAAAGCACACAACTGCGTCACAAGGCACATACTCACTTGGAATTCTGAAGGCCAAAGGAGGAGAGGAAGACCAAAGAACACATTATGCGAAGAAATGGAGACAGAAATGAGAAGAATGAACAAGAATTGGATGGAAATAGAAAGAAAGCCTAGGACATAGTGGATTGGACAATGGTTATCGAAGGCTTATGCTTCATTAGGAGTAACAGGCGTAAGTAAGTAGGTAAGACTATGAGTAGTTCAAACAAAAGTAAGAGTGTGGTGTGAGCTACTAATATTGATATAAGTAGTATATAACGTGCGTTAAAAGAACGTAATGTCTGGCAGCGGAAGATGGCGAAGATCAAGAAGGGTAGAGCGAGAACACAATGGAATTTGTAAGAAAATGCATGAACAATGGAATGGGAGACAATGGATTGGTGTTTGCAACAGAAACAGTCCAGTTTGGTTTAATGCATGAATATTTTGGCAAATTGACGATTTACTATATGGTATTCGGATTTTGTTGAGATAGTCTGTAATTGTTGTGCTAAGTACATCCGTTTGTCCCCACCCGTGTTCTTGTTCACTACAAGAGTACTTGCAGTGTACAGAATGTTTTGAGAATATCTAAAGTTTTGTCAGGGTTTCTCCGAATGCATTTGGTTTTGTGTCTGATCTTCGTCCTTTCATAAGTAAATTTTCCATGTCCTGATATTTTAGTAATATCAGTTGGTTGACTATTGGTGACATTACAGCACTCAGTTATAGGAATTTCTTAACAAAAGGGAAAAACTCTGAATTATTTACAAATTTCGGTAAAATTAACAGTCTGTCTAATAAACTGATGAGATTCGAAACACCTGGACAAACTACGTTGCATTGCATAGTTGTCTTGTTTAAATAACCAAGAACCTTGATTTAATGTGAGAAATTTTGCTTTTTCTAAATCATTTCGGCCAACACGGATAAATGTCTTAGTTTCTGTGAATAAATCTTATCAGTCATATTATTTAAAATACACTCGAATAACAAGTTTGTCACTGTGTTTTCATGTTAAGAAATTATCACTAAATTTTTCGACACAACTAGTCCTCAAAATATCGTAGGATGCCGGCTCAGTGGTCTGGTAAGTTGTACGATCGCGTGCGAGACTGAAAGCTCTGGGTTTGAATCCCGAGAGCGGGATCGTGGGGTCCCACTGCTGAGCAGTTCCACCAGGAGGACAGTCCACGGGTAAACTCGAGGCTTCTGTGAGAAGCTCAGAAAGAGCCGAAGATATTCCATCCAATCACTTTTGGGAAGAATATTCTAGAATCCCTACGTGTAGCTTCCTGATTGAACAATGCTAATATTCCCC